TACACCTTTATGAAGAAACAATTAGATCTTTTTGTTCAGTCTCATCTAAAGTTCTTGCCCATCTCACCGCTTCATCCACCCCTGTGTCTCATGCCATCCATCCCTGTGCTCCGAGTCTCATGTATAATTAACGGACAGACAGCATAAAAGGAGAAACTGTCTTTAAAAAGTGAGGTGGTATGAGAAGCAATTTTGCACATTTCTGATTTTTACCTCAATTAATACATTATTGTCCTACTTATATTCAATTACACTTAGTAGACCACATTAAAAATACATTTAGTAGAATCTCTTCATCACCAAATAGTGAAAAGGCCATGGGAAGTTTGAATCAAAACCGATTATTTTTAAAATATGCTTCAAAAAAATCAGAAACAAGCTACTACTTAGGCTTGTCATTTAATTTTTCTTGTGTCTTCTGCTTTCAGATAATAAGCAACAGTATTTAACTCTAATATTAAGAATGATTTTTGCAACTAGATGAATTAACTGAGAGGATAAATTCACTGTAATTTAATAGTTTCAAACTACTTTTCATTATTTATAATAATCAAAAACATGCTTATTAAGGGTTAAGCACTGAATGATATACAAAAAAGATAACTGTAAAACTTTCTCAGTGAATCAAGAATCCTGTTTGATTTGTAGAGGGGAATTTTCTAAACCGTGGGAGAAAGATGCTAATTTAAGTTTTGCGGTAGGTAATAGGAACTTAAGATACTAGCAAACCCACTCACCATTTCAATTGTGTTCAGATTTATGATTAGAAGAGAGTTTACCCAGCTAGGCAATAATATGACCTATAATCTTATTTACAGGTTTAAGAATGGATTTAAGCTTATATGACTTGCTAAATAATAATCTGCTGCTTAGAAGATCCTTAGTGTAACATAAGTTTACCAGTTGCCTTTAGCTGTAATTCTAGTACATTATTCTAAATTATGGAAGGGTAATTTAGCTATTAAAGGACTGAATATTGACTATGACACAGATGATTAAAATTATATTTTAAGAAGTAAAACTAAAACTATAAATTATTCACTTGGAAATCTGCAAGCTCTGGTACTATTATCAAAATAGCTGAGAGGAGCAGGTTATTTTCAATATGTCTACATAATCATTTTCAGATGTTTCTTAATTATACTACATATGACTTTCAACCATATTCTGAAGCCAAAATACTATTATACTTACTAAACTCTTGCTTTCATAGAAAACAGTGGTAATAAGCTCTGTTACCTCTAATCTTTCGTCTTCTAAAACCTTATCAAACCTACAGTTGAATTAATTGTTCCAAGACCCATCTATATTTTTGCAAAGCTTACATTCTCAGTCACCTCCTCCAACATACGTTCTACTTTTACTCATGTATCCATCCTTAATTGCTCTGTAATACTATATTCTGTGAAGATCTGAAAATTTGGGCAACACTAAATGCATATACATTTCTTGAGAAAAATATTACTACAGGTATTTTAAAAATTATGCAAAAGAAATAATATGATAGGAGTATATTAATTACTTGAAAGCAGGTGTGCAACTGAAAGTCTTGAGAGAACAGATTAAGCATGTCATTTTCTCAGGTAATTTTTATCTGAGTTATCACTTGCTACTTATTTTGCTGTAATAAAATGATGAATATCTTTTAGAAGTCCACAGCAGCTATATTATTGCTTATATAAAACATGTCTCTATTTCCCTATAAGCTCTATGACACGCACAAAATGCAAGCTTCAGATGGTATAATCACCATAGCTTAAATTATTGCTTAAAAGGTTGTTACAAGGTATTGCTAGGGGACCATTTTTCGATGAATGTACAGTTCGATGTCAAAAGTACAGACTATTGATATTTTATAACATAAACATCAGAGCATTCAGAAATAAGGCTATTACTTTGACATTTGCTTCTCTGTCCAAAAGTTCATAGTTGATACCTTGGTGGTGAGGATCAGCAAATACTGTGAGATATACAGGCAGCAATTAAGAAAATTGGACCACATCTAGTATGCCTAGTAGCCGTATGGTGAGCAAAATTCATCCCCCATGCTTATCAGTGTTGATTTCTGTCTCTAATAATTTTGAAGACTCATACTCAAGAAGCAGACAATAAATTTGAAACCAAAACTATAATTAAAACTTGTGAAAAAATAATGCTATGAAGCTTGGAATATTTAGCTTTCATAATAACTGCAAATAAAATAATATATTGCTGTCTCACTCAACTTGTATTTATCCTTAGTAATTGAGATTATTTGAATACTCTTCAGTGATCTCCAAATCTGGCTACATATTAGCATTACTTAGAGTGATTTTCTAACTATGACTCCTAGGCCACACTTGAATCCTACTGAATCTAAATCTCTGAAGGTAAAGCCTAATAATTTATATTCATAAAAGCTTCCTAGGTAATTCGTTCAAAACCAGCCAGATACTGCCAAGTTGATGAGTTGAACCATTGAACAGTATCATTTCTTAATACAAATGGGATAGAAATGAGACACTTGACTGATCAGTCACAACATATTAGAAATAAAAACACAAACTTTACTTCCCTACATCCCAATTCCTCATAGAATGTCACTCCTTTTAACCATGAAATAGCTCCGTCCAACACACACATACACACACATACACATGCACACATATGAATATTCATTACTTTATAAAACAATTTCACAACTGTGGAGATTAACTGTGGTTCTGCCTGTTATAAACATAGCAATGACTTATTTCAATGAAAGGAAGGTGAAGGAAAGAAGAGACAAAGGAAGAAAAGAAACAAAAAATGGGGTAGGACAATACTTAAGTTTCAATTGTTTGAATCAAGTGTGAGGAATTTATCACACTATCTTAATATATCCTGACAAAATTTATATTAACCTGGATATAATATCAGTGTCTGTCCTTCAGTCTCCACCACAAAGAAATTGAAATTGAGTCTACAGCTAGGATCAATTTACACATTTAAGAATAAAATTTGTTCAATCACTTTAACACAATTTATATGTATGTTAAATCAGCTGACTGTGAATTAAGTATACTCATATCAGAGCTACTCACAAAAAATCATCATTCAGAATGGAATATGTTAAATTTTAATAATTCAGTTTCTCATGCATCATGGTTTTCAGGCTATATCTAATAACATATATTCATAGAAGCCGCTGAAATGATAATTTTTGTAGTTCAAGATCTGTAATCTCATAATAGAAGTACCCAGGTTATAATATGGGACTTGTTTTTGGTCTTGAGAGTATAGATATTGTTGGCTGAACAGTGTCTAGTGCCACCCAAAGCCTATGTAAAGTCATATATAACTCATTCAAAAGGACATTCAATGAAGTTGTATTAGATGCTTGGAGTCAGATTGTATTTTGAAGAAAAAGCAGAGAGGAGCTTTGATGTCAACAGTGCTCCAGCAAAACTGGGATGGTTAGTACACTTCAGAAGTACATTGTTATGTGGGCCTGAGGTTGTGTCAATCTTCCCACCAGCCTGAAATAGCCCTCAGGAACTCTTTCTGTGCCATGTGTGGATCAGAGGTACAGAGGATGGTGTCTGATTGGGCCAGGCTTGAGTGAGTGGGATGGTTTCCAGTGGCAGCATGGAGTACGAGAGGGTCTGCGCATGAGCTATGCAGCGCTCAAAATGCATGACAAGATACCTATTGTAGAAGTTTTACTCACCACCCTGATAATCCACAACACCTGCTCTCAACAAGTCAGGAACCCAAAGAGCCTTCATGAAATATATTTAATGATGGTCATAATCTTGGGCTCTCTCTTGATACCTCACAACCACAGACAAGCTATTTGAATTGGTAACAATATGATTCTGTACAAAACAGAGATCCTGGTGGTTTTCCAATTTCTCTGTGGCTTTGTCTTTTGTATACATCGATTTATTTCTGCTTTTTTACTGGAACTCTTTGGAGAAATTTTCAAAATTAAAAGCTTTGCTGCACTTGTAAATCAGTACTTTTGTTTAGGTTTTTGTTGTCCTCTTTTGCTCTTTTTTTTTTGGAGAGGCACACACTTTTGCATTTTCATAATGAAACGCTATATTCTTAGTACCATTGCCATAGGACACACAGAACAAGTGTGAGACCATGAACGTTTACATTGCAGTGCTGAATCCATGAACCAACTCTCAAGTCTCAGCCATCAGTGTCGGTTTCAGCAGGTCATCGTTCACTGGACAGCCATTTAATAAGGTGTTAAAAACAAATAATAATTTAAAATAATTATTTTAAATAACCCCAAATAATTTAAAATATAAGAGAAGAGATGAATATTGGGGCAGATTTTAAACTGTTGGATCCTTTTCCACATCATACTACATAGCGTTTCTCCAGGCATTGAGTATTATTTTTTAATTATGGCCAATATTACCTATTAAGGTTCACAGAGCACATACTGTGCAGTATGTTGTGGTTACATATGGGGTTTCTGACTTTGTTAGATAGCCAATTCATTCCCAAATGGTGACATCCTCTCCATCACAATGATGTTGATGTCAATGAAAAACTGTGGTACTGATGGCTAGTCATAAAGTGACTTCTTCCAATTTGTTGCTTGAAAGAACACTAAATCAGGAGCTATAGGTGCCAAATTATATTTAAAGTATCCTTTGGGGGGGGTAGGTTAAAGCCATTTCCCCAATTTAATACCACTTGATTTCAATGGGACATCTATTAAATTCTTTTAAATCTGTCAGGTTAAAATGTATGATGTGTGTAGTAGTTTGTAGGTGAGAAGATTGTAGAGATATTATTCAGATGAAATACCAACTGCTACCCATTGTTATAGCCACAATTGCTAACAGAAATATGTAGGACTAAAATATGATGCTTTTTCACAGCTTCTAAATTTTATGACTCAGCTACAGTGCACAGCCATTTTAAACTGTACCTCGCGAAAACATAGAGCAACCATGTAACTATAATGATCAATTGTACTAAGTTGGCAAAATGCTAACAGATTAGACCATTGCCTCAGGCTATAGCTTTAAAGATATATTTAGACTATATTGCATGAAAAATGTAGTTTACATCATGTCTGTGAAACTTAGTAGATCTCTAGCATATTATTCTTCATTGTGACAATGTAAATGGCTACTTCTTCTCTACGTAAAGTCATATAAACTAAAAAAGAGTTTGTTATTCTTTTGACAAATTGAATGCATAAACAATTCTTGTTTTGGGCCCTATTACCATTGCCAGATAATAAAATGGATTTCCAGTGATGCTTTTAAAATATGCTTCCCATAGGTGATCATACGAATAGAGAGAATAACTATATGTTTAGAATGGTTGCTTAGACAAATCTTTATAAGAAGCAGAGAAATAGATTGGATGATTCCTGGAAGTCCCTTTCAGCCTATGGTTACATAATGCATTGTTTACTGCCAAAATATTTATTGATTTACCATATCATAAAAAGCTCTTAGTTGCTGTGCAGAATAAGCATAAATGACCTCAGTGAGCTGGGTTCTCTCCCCATGCTCCTGTGCTACAAGGAGCCCACCAACAAAGCTCAGGGGTTTCCTATTCTCAGCATGAAGACTATACAGCTCGCCCCGTTCCCTGTGAAGGAAGTGTTTTAATCTCCCAGTGCCCTGAAGAGTTATTTTGTCAGTGATTACTCCCATGAGAGAACCTTGTCCTCAGCCTACACAGCCTCTCATAACACCCTGGCCATTTTACCCCATAAGGTTAAAAACAGAGAGGTAGGCCCAGGGAAAACAGAGGCACGGGCAAGAATTCAGACACCTCTGGGTCTAGGGCCCATCCCACATGAAGAGTGTTACCCTAGTGTCCTCAGAAGCCCCAGGGCTAGATCAAATTCAACAATTATAAAAGTGATGACCATTTTAACAAAAACTTTGCATGCCTATCAATGTTTTCTAGCTACACACTTAGATAACTTAAAAACACTAATTCAGCCTCACAGACAACATTGGACACTAGTTAACATGCTCCTCAGTTATGTCATAACCAAATCATAATGCAGCCAAAATCTCTGACCAGAAGAAAAAATATATTGTATTCAGTAGACATGAGCTACTAGTAAGTATACCTACTATAGTAAGAAAATGGATACCCTAAGGTTTTAAGGAAACAAATGCTTCCAGCTCATTAGCCTCAATAGAAACTTAGGTTTTATATCTGATCCAAAATAGTAAATCTCTGGACACACTGTGCTCCAAATTTCAGGGTGAATCTGTAACAATATTTTCATGCAGTGCTACTTATTGGGAACTGGTCTTCATTTTAGCAGAACATGCGATGGAAACCTATCTGTAACTATGGTGATTACTAAGTCTAAAGGTTAGACTTGCTTCAGTGTTTTGAAAATGATTCACTGAATTTAAAAATCAAATCAGTCAAACTGCAGAAAACATTTTTTTTAATCTGAAAGCTATAATATACAGGACTTTTTCCCTTGCTTTTTATTATGCAAAGAGAAAAAACATTGTTGGGGAAATGTCCTATACCTTTCTCACTAATGCCAGTATCTAGGAATATGCACCCAAGAATGGCCTTAGGAGTCATCCCTCATGATGGGGGTGGAGAAGTGTGAACATGTCATTTAGTAGGATACTCTTTATTCGAATGCAGGTTAGTACATTACAATAACTACCTGTATTTGCAAGTGCTAAGTTGAAATGTGTCCAGTGTAGAGATCATTTTATTTGACTGATATTTGCTAGAAGATGGCAAAAAACACCTTTCTTTCATCTTGGTTACAGATACATCTGTTATTAGGAAATTCCATTTCCTCTGGATTCCATGCTACAATAATCAAATCTAAAAGATATATTTACTAAGCAGACATACAATGCTTTCTCATCATTCAAAATCCTTGGTCATACGTGTTCTCAGTCTAAGCACTAATGAGTAAAACTATATTCATTTAATAGGTTAGAGTTACATAGTGTACCAACTATACAGTAGCAGATTCTGAAAAATCTAATAATGTTATGTGAAATGTAATTATCTAGAACAGATATGTATAAAAATAGGTAATATCCCTAAAATATTTTGCTGAGTTACAGTTCTTCCTACTGGGAAGTTTACCACACTGCCATGATATACTATGAAATGTCTGTTCAGAAAAACAAAATTAGAAAATATTCTTCACATACCAACTCACAAAATGTAGGAATATATAATCAAAACTGGCTCTTAAAAGTGATACAAATATATAGGGAAAGATACCTGTATGTGTGACAAACACAAAAACATGAAGTCTATTTATTGGTTAGTTTGGAAAGAGGGCCCATACTTGTAATTAAAATACATAATATGACCAAAAACACTCATATGGATGGACACACCTTATTCCTCCCCCCACCCTCCAGTTTTTTTAATTGACAGTCATCATCTACCTTTTTCTAGGATTATTGCCTGACATAACAGAAATTGCTCTGTTTGTTCTCAACAAAGCAGTGAAAGAGAATCTCTTTCCACCCTCCTGTCGTGACCCATGGTCTGGGCTTGTGCTTTTGGAGGAGTCTTTGATCTGTAGCGGGTCTCAGAGGCTTGTCTCCCGGAGGAACATGGTGCCAATGTTGTAGGAAACCTTCTTTATTCTCGATGAAGAAAGTGAAGGCTTTGGCTGTTTAGGACCAGTCCTTACCTCCAGGAAATAGCAGATTCCAGGGATTTCCTTTGGAAAGTTGTCTGGAAGCTCTTCACGGGACCGAGGAATAAATGTGAAACTTTCTTCCCATTTTAATAATCTAAGCAGAAAATAGAGATAATGTGAATCAAATAAGCAGGGGAAATGTAAATAAATGGACAAAAATGTTCAAGACTCAGGAACCCAATCAATGACTGTGCTCATGCTAACACTCCTATTTCTTTGTATAGATGTGGCCTTTATAGGATTCTAAGTACTAGCAAATGTTATTTCTCAGGGTAGATCTCCTCATGTAACAACAACAACAAGCTGTTGCTGGTACTACATGAAAATATTTGTTCAAGCTTGACCTCTTTCTAAAGAGCATTACTTGAAAATATTTGTTCAAATTTAATTTTTTTCCCTAAAAAAAGGCCAAGGAAACTGCATAATACAAGTTTTTACTCAACATGAAGGATTTACAATTTATGTTTTGAAAACCTGCCCAGATTCCAGAGCACCCTTTCTATGTTTTATAGACTCTTGATAACCTTTAAATGGTTATTCTTCGCATCTGATATATAAGCCAAGCATTTAACTTTGTAGAACAACATTCATGACTTCAAGTGTCTCTGATACAGGTTACTGGTTTCTGGCAATACACATTTTCTAAACTCATTAGCATTATTTGTGAAACAGCTGAATTCTTCCCTTCCAGTCACACTTAAAGACTCTTTCTTAGTACACTAAGACTGGTTTTACTCTTTCCCAGTTCCATGAAAAGTTCAGACTGATATTCGTGCCTTAAAATGTGGCCCAGCAATTCAGTTTGATTCAATAACTCTTGGGTTGCTTCTTATTGTCCAAGCAAAATCTTCTAGACATGAATATAATGATAAGTAGAACTGAACCAAAGAAGCTCAAAGTTTTATCAACAAAAACAGTGAATAAAATAAGCAGAAAATAATTTCTGAATAAACAGACAACACAGTAATATAAAAGTAATATAAAACAGAATGGGCTGGGTACCATAAGAAGAGTAGATATAAATAGTGCTGAAGTCTAGAAGTTCCCAGTGGGAGGATCACGGAGCCTTCATAGGAAAGATATTATTTACAGATGGGAAGACTTTCAAAAAGAGTGTGGAGTACAACACAGTCACAGGTTTGGAAACAAGAACATTATGATCAGGATCAACACTTTTCCAACGATTTGATAACATCACAGAATAAAGTCAGGGAGCTAAGGCCAAAGCTTTGAAATCTAAACTAAAAGTTTAGACTTTATTTGCAAGGCATAGTGGAGCTAAACCCATCACCTTTTTACTCTCATCCTTGTAAGGCACTTTAATGTTAAGAAGTTATGAAATGTAAGAGACGGTTTGGGGAAAGGAATCCTGGTGCCAGAAAGAAAGCAATATGAGGAGGGAGAACAAAGATTATGTGAAAATGCAAGTAAGATCATTGCACAAGCAATGATAATAATTTATACATAAGGAAAAAAAGAGAAAAATAATCATTCCTTTTCAAACATTCTTAATGGATAAAAATATTCTCTGAAAATAACAGTTGGTAGTACTAAGAATTCTCTTTTTTTTAATTTTAAAAATACCTTATATATTTGTTGTAGAAAAAAATGAGATAATGGACATAGTTTCTTATATAGGTGGTAATTATGATTTTTATAGACAGTAATGATAATACAATTATAATCTATCTGGAGTCTATTTAAGCAGAAGAGGTATTGGGCATAGATAATTACATGGATACCACAATTCTTATATTATGAGCATCTATAGTTACTTCTATGAACCAGAATTGCACAATAGTATTTTTTATCATTTTATTTCTTTTTTTTGTATTTCTTTTTATTTTTTAGGTATATTTTATCAGTTATGCTATTACAGTTGTCCCAATTTTTCCCCCTTTGTCCCCCTCCATCTGGTACACCCCTTCCCTCCAATGGTCCTGTGCCCTCTTATCTCATGTCCATGGATCATACATATAAGTTCTTTGGCTTTTCCATTGCCTATACTCTTCTTAACCTCCTCCTGTCTATTTTGTACTACCCAATTATGCTTCTAAATCCTTATACCTTTTCCGCCATTCTTCCCCTTCCCCTCCCCCTTCCCAGCTGATAACCCTCCAAATGATCTCCATAGCTATGATTCTATTCCTGTTCTAGTTGTTTGCTTAGTTTGTTTTTTAGATGCAGCTATTGATAGTTGTGACTTTTCTGTCATTTTAATGTCTATAGTTTTGATCTTATTTTTCTTAAATAAAACCTTTTAACATTTCATATAATAAGGACTTGGTGATGATGAACTCCTTTAGCTTTATCTTGTCTGGGAAACACTTTATCTGCTCTTCAATTCTAAATGACAGGTTTGCTAGATAGAGTAATCTTGGCTGTAGATCCTTGCTTTTCATCACTTTGTACACTTCTAGCCTGCAAAGTTTCTTCAGAGAAATCAGCTGATAGTCTTTTGGGAACTCCTTTGTAGGTAACACTCTCTGCTTTTGCTGCTTTTTAGATTCTCTCTTTATCTATAACCTTTGGCATTTTAATTATGATGTGTCTTGGTGTGGTCCTTTTTGGGTCCAACTTGTTTGGGACTCTGTGCTTCCTGAACTTCTGTGTCCATTGCCTTCGCCAAATTAGGGAAGCTCTCTTTCATTATTTTTTAAAATAATTTTTCAATTTTTTGCTCTTCCTCTTCTTCTTCCGGCATTTCTATGATTCAGATGTTTGTCCTTTTGGAGTCCCAGAGTCTTCTTAAACACTCCTCTTTTTTTTAAAATTCTTTTTCTTTATTTTGTTCTGGTTGAATATTTATTTCTTCCTTATGTTCCAAATCATTGATTTGAATCCTGGCTTCCTTCCCTATACTGTTGGTTTCCTGTGGATTTTTATTTCCCTTAGTATAGCCTTCATTTCTTCACTGACACTTTTGCTGTATTCAATGAGATCTTTGACCATTCTGACCATCAGTGATTTGAACTTCTGCATCTGATAGGTTGGCTATCTCCACATTGCTTAGTTCTTTTTGGAGGGTTCTGTTCTGTTCCTTCATTTGGGCCATATTTCTTTGTCCCCTTATTTTGGCAACCTCCCTGTGTCTGCATACGAGGTTGAGCTGCTTTGATTTCCTGTAGTAGTGCACCTGTGTGGTTGTATGGGGTGGAGTTCTGGGTATTCGCCAGTGCAGGGCAACCTGCTTCACCACTTTGTGGTTTTGTGTGTCAGGGTGGAGTCGGAGAAGGAACAATGCTGCTGCTTGCAGACTTCAGGGGCTTGCCTGGAACTTGCCCCTTTTCCAGTCACTTCACCCACTTCCCATATGTAACTGGCACCGTTCCGGCTGCTGTCCTTGTGGTTCCCAGAGTGGGTGGTTGTGCACACATTCGGGGATCTCTCGAGAAACTGGCAGTTTCTTCCGCTACCCCAACCTCCACTGGGTTTACAGTCAGAAGTTATGAGGTTTTATTTTCCCAGCACTCGGACCCTGGGAAAATAAAACCTCTGGCTTGGGGCCAGGATCACTGGCTCACAAGGCGTCCCCCTGATTTTTATCCACCACACATGAATGTGGGACCACCTGTTCTGCCAGCCGCTGCTGCCTTGCTGCCGCATCATGCCTGGCTAGCCACTGCCGCACTGCTTCCTCTCTGCCCTGCTCTCCGTCTCCGCCCCTCCTGCCCATCTGAATGGACATAGCTTCTTAAATCCTTGGTTGTTAGACTTCCTTACAGTTCTGGGTGTTTTTCTGGCAGTTCTCGCTGTTTGTCATATTTAAGTTAGCTGTGTTCCTTCTTATAGTTGTGCAACAAGGTGAGGCATGTATACCTATGCCTCCATCTTGACTGGAAGCCCCCACAACAGTATTTTTGCTTTGTAAATGATTTTAAAAAAAAGTTCTATTTCATTTCTTTAAAAATATTATAAAGTGACAATACTAACTTGGGATATATAAAAGTGAGGCTAATTCTAACATTTCAACATTCTTTCAAATGCCTTATCTCATTACATCCACACAACATAACCTTATGCAAAAGCCATACATGCCTCCTCTGACAAATATAAAGGGGGTTAAAATGAGTCCACAATGAATTATAGTGCTTTGCTCATGGACATAGGAAGACAGTGGTCACACGGGAACTGGAATCCAAATCTGTTAATTCCTAGTCAAACTGAGCCCTACAGTAAATAATAAGACTACACTAAGATATTTTTCCACCACCAACTACACTGCACTATAGATGGGGAGTTAATGACAATCAGTATGGAAGTCATCAGTACTGGATACTTTCTTTTTGTTCTAATAGATGTTGATTTTCTTTACATGTACTATATAATAGTCAATTCAGATATATGTTCAGATTCCCCAAACAATACTTTAATTTATCAATGAATTCCACAATAACTTTGTTTAGCTCAAATAGAAGAGTCATCAATGTGCAACATGTGGGTGTCAATCAGTGATATGAGTCAATCAACAAACATTTGCTGAGTGCCTGTTCCATGCTAAAATTGTACTTTGAAAGGAAGAGAATAAGAGGGCATGCCCAGAATGAATTAATATAGAGTTTAAAAGACAAGAAATACTGATAGAAACAAATTAGCAAAACAAGACAATATATGGTACCACACATGATCCACGGCAAGGGAGGAAATTCTGTAGGAAAATGGGAGAAATGATGGCTGTGGATCTTAGTACAATAGTCAAGAACCAGAGCAATAAAGTTCACTTCCATCAACTACAAAATAAACCATAAGCTCAATTTTTCCAACAAGTTTCATAAACATCCATAATCAACAAATAGGAGAGAGCTACATTCATCTCTTCTTTTTTAAGCCCTCTACTTTCTCTCTTTCATGATTTGTTTGTTTCACCAAGGTCTTGATATTTTACTATAATTGAGATATTCTAACATTGAAAAACTAAACTGGGGTTATATCTATGAAAGTACTTGTAAATGACTAAAATAAGGGCACATAAGCTGCTTTGGATGCCAGGAGTTCTAAATAATTCACTGCACTTCGGTTGGGAGGAAATTCTTTATAAAGAATCACTCTTTTGACAATTTAAAAACATCTCATATATTCCATGCTAAAAAATTG